AATTGTCTTCTGCTAAAACTAAGGAGCTTGATAGCTACACTGCACCTCTTAGCTAATTTGCTCTCAATTACAGTTTTTCTCAATTGCTTTGGCACATTTTTCGAAACAATCGTAACATTCTCTAAACTGTGAGTGGAAATGTCACAACTGTTTGCTGGAACTTCAGAACTTTATTGCATGTCTGCAAAATGTAGTTACTCACCCAAAACATTACATTCATGCTTCAAAACCTAGTTATCGTGTCAGTAATTCACAATCACTAAGAATGGAGGACTTCCACAACCCTGAACTGCAGCAACATGCTCGTGGAAGAGCAATTGGAAGACGTGTAAGAATACGTGGTGGTGGTGTTAGAGGAAGACATAATAGAGAAAGAGGTGGAAATAGAAGAGTCAGAGTCTCTGATGAAATCAGAGCCACACTTGTGGATCATGTCATAAATTGAGCCAAAGCAATTGAGAAAAACTGTAGGATAATGAGGAAACAAGCAAAGAAGGGCAGCCTTAATATTTTAACGTGATAAAATGATTATTAGCCTCTTCTCTCAGTTAGCGAAGCCAACTATCGATCATGTTTGTCACAGTGATTTTTGATGTTAACATTAGTGAATAATAATTAAATATTGGAGAAGAGAGCATATAGTGTACTATTCATAAGTTTATACTTCAAGTTATAAAATAAAAATATATTATAAATATACTATACAAAATATAGAAAAAATGTAGTTTGGAATGCATACGAGATACATTCACCTTTACTCTTTTTCAGTGACATGCCACTTCATTGCGCTAAAATTAATAAATTAAAAATACATTTTAATATTATACTAAAGAGTCACATACACACATATAAACTAAGCTTCAATCTAAGAAAGTTTTCATACTAGAGGGGCAGTTATACAGGACAGTTTGCAACCCTATTGTCCCCCATGTCCCCCATTTGTCCCCCATGCTCACTACAGTGATTAAAATACTAGTTTGACAATATTTTCATTTTACACAATGAAATAAACATATTAATCTTGCGCAGATAGTCCTGCAACTCAAACAGTAAAAGCATGATGCTTACAACAGCTCAGGGGTTCAATTCCCAGGGAATGCTTGAACTAATACTATGTAAACCTTCAATGCAAAGTCGCTCTGGATAAAAGTGTCTACCAAATGCATAAATGTAAAGGCCAAAGCTACATTGTGAAAACATCCAACATACAGCTCCATAAGTAACATGCATTCAACTAATTCAACTAATATCATTTCAGATTTTTACCATGGATACATCCATGTCATTCACAAAAGGAACCAACATTTAATTAAAGGTTTGTGGGTGTGATTGGATTATCTGTGAAAATGTAACAGGCCACATCCACACGCCTGTACAGCAGTTCCTCATTAACACAGGTCAGCTAATTGATTTAGAGCCTAGAATGTAGTGCAATTAGTGTAAATCAACACGCAAAACCTAAAAAACAAAACAAAATCAAAAACGTAGAAATGCATAATTACCTTTGTTGACTAGATTTGCATTTCCTGAAAGAAACAGCAATTTTGTAAGAAAGCAAAAAAGTGGCTAAGGAAGAAAAAGCCAATCATGCAAGAACACTGTAAAATGACTTTTCAAAGATATAACTGATTTAGGTTTTACAAGAAAATATTTCATAATTTCTAATGTATTACTTGCTATTCATTCTAATTAATCGTGAAATTTACTAGCAATTTCTGAGTGAACATTGTTTCAATTTTTCATCAAGTTTGAACAGTGTAAATACATAAATGCAAAAGAAATAATAAATGCAAATCAGATTATTATTTCCGTATTACAATATTAATGATGTACAATTTAAAAGGATATTCTTTTTGTGCCTACACTGTAAAAAAAACACTGAAGTACGTTTTACAAGAAAATACTATTTCAGTCTTTCAACTTCACAATTTCCTGTTTAATGCAATGTGTTAATTCTGCAATTTACTCGCAATTTCTCCATTTCTGCAATGGATTGTACAACCAATTTTTGTACTGTAACTTACTCAAATTCAACTAATAAAGTAACATCTTCCTCTAGTTAACATCAGAGCAACCAGAAATACATACAACACAATACAATAAGGAATAACTCCTTTACTTATTAGCAAAACTGCTCTGATTCCTGTTCAGGTTTGGCATTAAGGGCCTTTCACTGATGCCCAGATGGCCCAAAAGCCCCTTTTATCAGAAAAATCCCACTCCAAGAGACTCCTTGGGGTTTGTTAGGAAATCCCAGAGTTTATCAGTGTAAAGTCTGTAATAGGCGCATCTAGAAAATGATTTGGCCCTCGAATCTGTCCATTTCTACTGACACTCAGCACAACCACCTGAAGGCAGACTGTCTTGTGTTTAGACTCGAGCACTGGAACGGAAATAAATCGCTCTTGTCTTTTGTCTCCTGTGTTTTAAGCTGAGGTCAAACTGACAGCAGACTGAGGGTCAGTAAACATGGCTGCTGTCAGTGTGTGTTATCACCGACCGGCTTGAACGTACACTGTAAAAAATTATTGTGATTTTAATATATATATATATATATATATATATATATATAAATACCTTTACCAGCATCTTTGGACCATGAAGAGTCCTGAGTTGTTTAAAATATTCAAAATTATTAATTATTGAAGGGAAGATATTAATAAATCAAGGGAAAATACACATCTTATCCCTTCCCTAGACATCCTAATTGGTCATCCAAGGCTTTAGATTTCATTAAGGCTGGGAAAATCTCTGGAAGATTCTGTAGTCTCATTAAGACGGTTTCCATACTATATTCGGTGAATAAATGTAATTACATTTAATGTAATTTTACAGTAAAATACTGTTAAAAATACAGTTTTTGGAAGTGAAAAAGAAAAAGTAATTGTATAATTTACAGTGACAAACTGTAAATTGACACTCCCAGAATTCCCTGCATGACACTTCATATTTGATGTTCTTTTGTTGAAATAACATGTTTTTTCTTAGTTTTTTTTCTTATCAGTTGTGTACACTACGGTTTAAGTGTCAGTCAGTCTCAGGAGTATTAACCTGGCCAGCTGGCTTTAAGGAAACCATCACAGGCCGAGACTTTCCTGTACCGAACCGCCGCGAGCCACGATAACACGAGGAAGCCACGTTTAAAACAATTAATAAAGAGTCTGAGCAGTTTGTTGCCAGTTTGAGGTCAAGTGTGGCATCGTTTGATGAGGTCAGTTCTGAGTTTAATGAGCTACATGGGGTCAATTTAGAGTAATTATGAGCAGGTAAGATAAGTCTGTAAAACCTAAAATGTTGCTACCATATTTTTTACGGTGAAGTTCTGGCAACCACAGCTGCCGGTATTTTACCGTAAATGTCACAGATTTTTTTTACAGTGTGTGCAAAAAAAAAACTCTGCAATCGCAATCTAAATGTATTTGCAATGCACTTAAAAAAAAAAACTCAAGTGGGTTTCAATTTCTGTACAGATACAAACCTTAAAGTCTTGTCTAAAAAAAGTCAGCTTTTTAATATATTGAATAAACCATTGTTGCACAATAGTGGGGCAAGTTGTCACAATCGAACCTGCCTTTAAACAGTCTAATAATTTCAGCCTAATTTAAACAGTAAAGAGTCAAAGCAAATCACGAAACAGAAAACTGTTAAAGGTAACAAAAACGTCTAATATATATAAAAAAATCTTTATTAATTTAATAAATCTAAGTTTAGTTTAGTTTAACTTGATGTACTAAAAGAACTAAAAATGAATAAAAAATGAATAAAAGCTATGCAATTACAAAAAAAACAACTGAATGACAAAAACAAAACTAAAATGTAAAATATTAAAATGAAAACTCAAAATATTAACAAAACCTATAATGGTATTGGAATGATACTAAAATAACAGTGATTAGACTGTAAAAAAACAAAACATATA